ACTTCATATTTTCACATAAATGACATTTTGGAAAATGATTGCATTGCAACTCAGTTTGTGCATGTCCAGAACAGAGATGAGTTGTAATAAGACAAAAAACGGCCGGTTGCCAATCACATAAGTTCCAGGGGAGCTCCTTAAGTTCGGCCATCCTACACACACGTGACTGACCGCTCTCTTGCACCAACAGGAGGAGGAGGGTCCTGTTACTCTCTATCTACACTGTAGTGATGGGAAGTCCGGTTCTTTTGGACAGTTCGTTTCAATGAACCGGTTCAAAAAATCGGTTCATCGGTTATTTTACACCCTAACGTAATGACGTCATTCGCAATGACGTAATGATATCAAGTCTATCGTCCCGGGCCGGGATGAAAATACACATTCAAATATATAAAGTCAGTAATCATAACTTCAGTCAGTTAAAACATCATAATCATGATCTGAAAAGTTTATAATTAAGTTTTGCAACTAAGCACCTATATACAGTAACAGGCAGCGATGTGTATACCAGGATTTAAGTCTTGAAGATATAGAAAGTAAATAAATTAGTTGTCATTAGTGCAGAAACCATAATCCACTTTCTATACATAATCCATTGCGATTTATTTGTTATTAAATAAACTTACGTTTCGCCAGATTGCCCTTCATTCAAGTCTTCGGTTTACCCGCGCGGGCGCATAACATTAGCACAGAATCAGTTGTCCAAAAGAACCAGTTAACTCCCGCACGTATAAAAGCAGGTTTTACTTCCGGCTCGTTCTCTTACCTTGAACGCCCCAGAGTTCCGAGCGACAAGGATTAGTGACGGTCATCCTTCGGTCTCACAGATCCATAGTTATAGTCATAACTTACGATCTGTTTCGACCTCACTCTGACCGTCACTAACGGTCTAAATAGGATGACTCGTGTCAACAGGGTCGCGAGGAACTACAAAATCCATACCATTCGCTCCTCGCTGGGCAACAGACATTAAAACAGCAGTGCTCACTGGTGTTGCGCTAGTCACATCAACTCTGTAAAATTTTGTGAACGTACATGGCGTAGACCATGATGCTGCAGCACAAATATCCTCTACTTGAACTCCCTTTAGTGCAGCCCATGAAGTAGCTACACCTCTGGTTGAGTGGGCCCGAACTCCTACAGGAACTGGCAACCCTCTCACTGTATAAGCATGGGAAATAACATCAACCAACCAGTGTGACAAACGTTGCTTCGAAAGTGGCGACCCTAGCCTGGTCTTTCCATGACAAACAAAAAGCTGAGAATGAGATTTTCTCAAAGGCTGAGTAACATTCACATAAGTACGTAATGCCCTTACTGGACATAGGGAAAGCAAGCCTTCCTGTTTCGTCTGTGAAGGAGGTTGAAACTGAGCCATCTCCAGTATTTGATTCTTAAACTGGGGATTAATTACTTTTGGTAAAAAGGCAGGGTTTGGCCAAAGTGACACCCCTGTGCCCTCTGGTTTCCAACGTAGACAGTCGTCGCTAACAGATAGAGCACATAATTCTCCTACCCTTTTTGCAGAGCAAATGGCCAAGAGGAAAGCCGTCTTAAGAGACAAAGCTTTAAGATCTGTGTTAGCCAATGGTTCATACGGGGGCTTAGTGAGAGAGTCTAATATGAGAGGCAAGTCCCAACTTGGTGCCCGCAGAGTGCTAGTTGGACAGAGACGACGAACCCCTTTCAGAAACTGGCATAGCAAGGGATGTCGGCCTACTGGCTGGCCATCAACCCTTCCATGAAATGCAGAGATAGATGAGGCATAGACCTTGATCGTGCTAGCCGCTTTGCCTTGGTCTAGTTGAATTTGCAAAAACCGAAGAACAAGAGGCACGGAACAGGTTACTGGATCAACATTTGTGCCCAAACACCATTCTGAAAAGATTCTCCATTTAATGGCATAGTTAGCACGAGTAGATGGGGCTCTAGAATTGTTTAGAGTCTCCCGCACAGCATCATCTAGCTGCTGAGGGACGGGCTCTGCAGGGACCACACCCACAAGCGCAGAGCCATTGGGTTCTGATGCCAAATTTGGCCACCCACTTGTGACAGGAGATCCGCCCGTGATGGTAGCTGCCACGGTTGACCCCGAATCAGCTGAATCATCTCTGAAAACCATGGCCTTCCTTGCCAACGTGGAGCAACTAGCAAAATCTTGTGGCAACCTTCCCTGATCCTTCGAAGAACTTGAGGTATTAGGGGAAAGGGGGGAAAAGCGTACAATAAGTCTGTCGGCCATTCTTGTGACAGAGCATCCAGGCCCAAACTGCCGTCCTGTATTTTGAGAGAGTACCATCTCAAGTACAATGTGTTGTTTCCACGGATGCAAAAAGATCTACCTGGGCTGTCCCATATTGAGCCCAAATTTGGGCTATCACCTCTGTGTGTGGCCGCCACTCCCCTAGGGAGAGGCCCCGTCCTGGACAGAATGTCGGCTGCTCTGTTCGCTGTCCCCGGAATGTGGATTGCTCTTAGCGAGGACAGCCGTGGACATGCCCATGTTAATAGATCTGTTGCCACCTGAAACCATCTTAGCGATCTCGTCCCTCCAAAGAGAAAGGAAAAATTTAAATCACATCATATGACCCCTTTAAGTTAGCTACAGTATTAATTGGTAACGAGAATGATGAAGCAAGAAATAAACTACTTGATTCGTGTAAATGTTACGGAGTGGTAACATTAACAAAATTCCGCGACCAAAAAAAGTCAATTGCCTATATTGCTATAATGTAGCAATATATGAAGCACAACTCATAAATAAGCCACTTTCATTCCAAGCAGGTTTCTGTTAATGAATGTTGTGAAATCTGCTTGGGGAAATCTTTTGCCCTCATGCTAAATTCCAGATTACGTGGATTCCTATTGAAATGACAGCATGATATGCGATAAATATTCCAGTGAAGTAGGCTATACAACTATTGTGTGACAGCAGGGGCGATTATAGGATTTTCATTCCAATGAGGGTATATATATATATATATATATATATATATATTCAAATGAAAATGGCAACATGATCGCTTTATAATGTATGCGTTCATATGTGCTTCATTTTTGCTGGAGGAAACAGCTGTGGTGTGATGAGGGGTGAACGCAGTGAAAACTTAGGCTACAGTAGATGGGGAACCAATTATTGCACCCCCATGATATTTTGTAAACTGGATTTATGACAAAGAACTGCACAGATGCAGATATTATAACAATCTATCGATAAACACACACTTTGGAAATGTAACGCCCCTTACCATAATCGCAAGCTTCAGCTTTCAAAATAAATGTAAAGACAGAGGGGAACAGAGTCGGGGAACAGAGTCGCGTGACAGACACCGTGATGAAGCTGGTATGTGTTTGCAGTACACAAGCCACGGTTAAGACAGCTGACTCCACTTTGATGTGA